ACTCAGCACTCTGCACAGGGAGTGGTCACGTGTCATAGAGCGACATCAGTCTCTGTCCTCCCCCGTCTGCTTGTGGCAGTGTGGTATGCCCGATATGTCAGGGGGAGGATGTAGACAGCAGCATGTGATAGAATGAGGATCAGCATGACACCTCCCTGTCAGTTCATGACATTTTTGCCGCCTCATCATCTCACAGGGTGTCACGGGGTCGGGGATCCTCGTATGATGGCAGTTTAAAGGGGAAACCATCAGATAAGAGGAATGTTCGGAGTGACATGGAATTGGAGGGGTGACACCAAAATGACTGACATATGAACCGAGAGCCCGACAGTGTCAGGAGAGAGGAGGGGACCTGGCGGCATACCTCATCCCGCCGGGTGAACGTCTCCTCCTCTCTCTGCCGGCGTCCATCACCAAGATGGCCACTGGCAGGCGTCAAAAAGACCACAGCGCAGTTGACCTGCGTCATGCTGAGCGTTGCGTCAAGGCCGCCAGTTCAAAATGAAGGGGCTGACAACTCACCAAAACACACCAGGAATGATGCGTGTCCTTGAAGGATGAGAGATGGGAACAAATTTGCTTCTCACTTATAAAAGCCCAATCAGTGGACTCCTTTAAGAATTTCCTATAAACTACTTTTGCGATGGTCTAGAACCCCCAAACCTAAATAAAAGCTGCTGGACTCTTCTGACTGATGCTGGCCCAGCTGTGGAGCTGTTGGCACTGTCCTCGACATTTGGTGGGGTTGCTCCTTTATTCATTCTTATTGGGAGGTCATTCAGAAGACTATAAAATATATTGGGCCATACCCCTCCTCTTCTCTTATCTCCTCCATGACACAGAGGCCCCGATAGGCACTTACACACGATCCTCTACAGTACACCTACTTAATTCTGCCAAGACTCTGACATTGGAGAAGAACTACACCCCCCACCATTGTGGAATGTTGGGTACAGTGCTCCCAGGTGGAGGAGGCTCATCCTATGACACATTAGACAAGTATAGAAACACGAGGATGACTTGGATGCTATAGCTTTCCTGGATCTGGATAAGTAGAAGTCTTCACATGGGTTGTGGTCTGCGTGCCTCTCAGTGGTCCCTCACCCACCCAGTACCTCTGCTGACTAGACATGGGCCATTCCTTTCATTCCAAATTGCAATTTAGATGTATTTTTAGGAATTTGGACATTCAGATGCATCAGATTTTCTGAATGAAAGAAATAACAAATCCGAATATTCCAATAAAATTCAGATGCAGAAAAAACATTTTTTGGGAATGTCATTTGGAATGAATTTATGTTGTTAAACATTAAATTCATAGCAGACCCTTTAGGTCTGGTAGGAATTTTAGGGGGGGACCCCAATGCCAGAGACAAAAAAGTGTGGGATCCCCCCCTAAAATCCCTTACCAGACTTTTTGATCTGAGCAGCAGCCTGGCAGTGCAGGAAAGGGGGGGCAGCGTGCCCTCTCCCCTGCACCACACCAGGCCACATGCCCTCAACAGGGGGGTGGTGCTTTGCCAGGGGAGACCCCATAGAAAAGCACCTTAGGAGAACAAGAGCCTCTCCTCTACAACGCTGGCCTAGTGGTTGTGGGAGTCTGTGGGCAGGGGGGGGCTTATCTGAATCTGGGTACCCACGTTCATAAAGGGGGCACACAGATCCCCCCCCCC